TACTTGCATGATAGCTGCATTTTTATGGGGGCTGGCTCAATGTTTTTTGCTTGTCAGTGTCCAAACCTCCTATAGGTAGCAGTATAACCCAAATGTCAATGAATTACTACATTACTGTGTCCCTCAATGGACTATAAGAAAAAGATTGTACATTAAGTACAAAAACATTTTTGCCATGATGCAATTGATGTGATCATTTATGCAAAATAAGTTTTTCCACTTCCTCCACATTAACAGGAAAAGAATTCCAATTGATTTTGAAGTCTGTAGACCCTGATGAAGGGTATGAAGACTCTGACCCAACAGAGGAAGGGGTGACCATAGCTTCTGTAGATACTGCAGCTGGAAATACAGAAGAAGATATTTACAGTAAAGAGACAGAAACTACTACAGAATATCCAAGTACCACCTTAGAGCTGAAATACAAAGGTAAAAAAATATTTACATGGGTATACAAATTTACCCACCCAGTGCAAAGCTATCAAAAAGTGCAATTCTTTCCAGATAATATACTAAAGTACTAATGTTTGCACTAATGTATGAGAGGCATATTTAAATTGCTGGCCTAATGGGTATTAAGACCCCTCCCATTACAGACCCTGGCTTATGTCTATCTAGCGGTCAGTAGTTGGGTGGTCTTGCACGGGGACCCTTTGGTGGGTCCGTCCACTGCTCCATGACAGTTTTTTTTAGCAGGACAAAAACTGCTTCTTTAGTAAAACAGTTTCTTGGGGTCTGTTTACATGAGGTGAGAGGGTTTCACTGTGTAGCACCTAGTTTAGCAAGGGGGAGCTAGACCCTGATGGCTAGTGAGGAGCTGATTATCAGCTCAGGTGAGATAGTCAGAGGGGACAAATTTTGGTCAGGACTGAGAGACTCTGCAGGCCAGCTCCTCTGGAATTTCCCCCTGCTCTGAGGCTTTCGGAGGAGGGCCTTGGAGGCAGTGGGTTGATCTGAGGAGAGGTTGGCTGCATTTTTAATTGATCTCAGCCAATCCCTAACAGGAGGCTTGGCAAGGGGCTGGACTGCCTTAAAAAGTGTTGGTGCCTGCTCAGTAGCAGGGAAGTTGGGTGGAAGAAGAAGAGAGGAAGATGTGAGGTTGAGGAGGAAGGCTGCCAAGAGGCCTAGTGGGATGGGGCCTGCCTGTGAGCCTAGAGCTGGAAAGGAGGAGAACTCAGGACTCACTGGAGTGAGTACACCTCTAACAGCTGGGCGGATAGGGGAATGAACATTCTGGTGGGAAACCAGATTATCCCTCTGCTAGTGACTGTACACCTTACCTAAAGGAACAGGAGCCAGATCCCCTGCTCAGGAAGAAAGTCTCCAGATTGCTGGGTGAAGAGGAGTTCATCCAGGGTCTGGGGTAGTACAACTGGAGCTGCTGGCTAGCACTCCAACAGAGACTATGTCAGAGAAAAGAAGCTGTGAATAGTTTAGGAAGTTGTCCTCAGATTTTGGTTTCCTTGGGAATCCTATACACCCCTTTACCCTATCCAAGTTTAATCCCCTCAATAAAATGACAAAACCAACACTCGAGGCCTGGTTTCTGTCTGTGGATGGAAGCTTATGTGGAAAATGCTAACTGTCTGGCTGTGCAGGACTATAGCGGGACCCAAATTCATCAGCAATCCCTAAGGGGGTAGTGCTACAACCAAAGAGCGAGAGTCTCCCCAAAAGGAAAAGACGACAAACTTGTAAATAAGCAAGTCATGCTGGAAAGATTTACTGAATCTACAAGGGAAAAAGAAGCACACTGCATTTAATTTTTCCCTATCATCTTCATTGCAAGCCACTGATACCGTGCAAGTGTTTTTCTTTTGACTAATGACTGATGACCTTTCTGTTTCTGAAACTTGCATCCATTTAAATTTTATTACTGTCTATCATTTTTTTGTACATTTAAAGGAAGCAGGTGTTCAAGGGCACTCATTGCAAATATAATGATCGATATTTAACGTGTTGTTAATTTGCTGATACCAGTTCCTGCACTTTATTTCTCTCCAGACGGAAGTGATAAGGAGCTAATGGGACAGTTGCGCAGAAGGAAGCGGCATGTTGGTGGTATGTTTATTGACAGGGATCTGCAAATGATATCATAAACCATACACAAAATATTTTCTTTTTTAACAGTATATAATGCATGATGCCTTCCCAATCTAAAAATAGTATACCTTACATTTGTTCTCACAAGTAAAAAAATTATTATTCTTATTTAATCCTTAATTAATAACACCTAAGTGGCACAATCACCTGTTTATAGAATTGAAAAATATAATTATCCCTGATGGTGTGTAGGTCCAGTGGACAGGAGATTGCTATGTAACATTGCTTGTTACCAATAAACATTTAATACTAGACATGTGCGACAAAATTTGTGTTCTTTGGAGATTCTGATGTATCTGAATTTCTGAATCACAATAGTATTACATTTGAATGAATCCAAATTAAATTATAATGGAACAAATGATCCAAATTCACATTTGAAAATTAATTCAAAATAGAATTTGAAATGTAAATGTATTGCAATAAGTACAGTAAGGTATAAAAGTGAAATAAGATGATGATTCCTACTTAGGCTGTTGAATGAAATAGAATAGAATAGCATAAAATAGAAAATAAAAGAATATAATAGAAAATAAAGGAATGTAATAGAAAAGAATAGACTAGAACAGTACTTCTCAACCTTTTTTCAGTGAAAGCACCCTTTCAAATTCTGCACAATCTTGAGGCACCCATTACAAAATTTAAAAGACTAAACTAATAATTTTACAAAATGCAGCAACATCTGCACATGCAAGACACCCAAAGTTAGAGGTAATTTATTTTTTCAAAGCAATACACTTTTTCACACTATTACTGACTAGTATTCCATTGTTTCTCTTCTTCCCTAGTTCCTCTCTCTCACTCAGCTAATGAGACCCGAGTGCTGACGGAGAGGGGCAGAGGAGGGGCAAGCAAGGATGCTTTGCTGGTGCATGATGTCCTTCTTATCAACTGACATCATTGGTTGTTATGTCGCCGGTGGCTAAAAACGGTTTAATGGTGCACAATGAAAACCTGTGGCTTTGTGTAGTTAAAAGGCAGGCTTGATCCATCTGCTGCCTTGTATACAATTTTTTAGGCATCTTTTAGACATTTTGAAAGGCACTGCTGAAGAAACCTGAAGGCACCCTGGTTGAAAAACACTGGACTAGAATAGAGTACAATAGAATAGAATAGAAAAAATATAGAAAATAACAGAATAGACTAGAACAGAAAAGATTAGAAAATAAAGAAACAGAATAGAAAAAAAATAGAATAGATCAGAAGAGAAGAAAATAGAAAAGAATAGAAAAAACAAAAAAAGCTGTCTTCTGAAATTCAAATTTCGAATTTCAAATCGATTTGAAAATAACGAATATACAAAATGAATCCAAATATACAAAACAAATTCCAAAAAAGAATCATTCTAACATAAATATGACAAAACAAAATTATTAATTTAGCGAACAAACTTGAAACTAAAACAATTTTTCCGTCTTGCACTTCTCTATTTAATACATGACAAAAAATTCTCTCAACAAGCTGTCTGGTGTAGGATAAATCATTCCTCAGACTCAATTACTTGTGTGGGCAAATTTTAGCTTGAGCTATTGAACTCTGTATACAACAGGCTTTTTCTTGATGATGGCACTAATAAAGCATAGGAAAACAGTAAGCAGGCAAGTAGGAGTATTTTATTGCAGAAGAGACATTGCATGTCTCTTTTGATATAAAAGCTTGCCTGCTTGCTGTTCCTTACAATATAACTTCAGCTCCACTTTAAGTCTGAGAGACATGAATGTAGAGCCATCTAATGGATAGTGTTAACATCTATCTATGGTCTTGCTGATATACCCTCACCGAGTGATGGAATACGCTATGAAGCAACAAGCAATCCCCACAAATATAATACAAGATTACTGACCTTGGGATGTTGAAATATTGCCAAGATTTCCTCTAACTAATAAGGGATTGGGGGACTTCTGCCAGCATAGTAATCAATGTTATTTGAATCAATAAGATTGCTTACTACCAGTAAGATTTTGGATGTCATAACTAAGGATCTATGGGGTTTATTTACTAAAGCTGGTTCACTCAGAATCTTGTGCACATCTGCATAGAAACCAATCAGCTTCCAAGTTTTATTGCTAAAGCTTAATTGAATAAGCTGAAGTTTGAAGCTGATTGTCTACCATTCACAGGCTCACAAGATTCTGAGTGAACCAGCTTTAGTAAATAAACCCCTATGTGCTGATCAAAGAAATCCACTTTTAGTGCCAAATCTTGATTGTTTATCTGATATATAAGAAACTCTTAGGGGTGTGGAAACCAGAGTAATTTGTTGAAAAGTGTATGGGGAGATATTGAACATTGTGGTCTATCGATGTACTGAGTAGGCCTCCTATTATCTTTTTTTTTTCTCTTTTAACTTTTAAATGCATCAATATTGTAATAAGATGAAAGAGTTTAAACTGAATATATTCTTCATTTATAATGCATCCATGTAGCACCTGAAAAGTCCCAGCATGTCCTTGTAATATTTTAAATTTGTTAACTCAATGAAAAATTACAATTTTGAAAGCCTAAAAATTACAGTAATAAATAACATATCCATTAAAACATAAAAATTTTAATTGCGAATATTCAGACAAGGAGACCAGGAGATGTGCGCTCAGAAATAGGTAGACCTTGTTATAAGGATTAGAACATTCAACTTCCTGAACTGGATTGGAATTGTTTCAGGCCAGGCTATGCATGTAAATCATGCTTGCTTTTAGTAAATCAGAGTACCCTGTGACACTGCCCCTTTACCAGTTTATGAGAGTTTGAAAAAAATATATATGTTAGTTTTATCACACATGTGAAAATACAGCCAGAGCTAGAATCAACCAATTAGCTTTAACATATTTGTACACCTTATGTATTAAAAAGGCATGTGTATAATATTTTATTTCCTTATAGACCCCTGTCAGCTACCCATGGATGAAGGATTTTGCTCAGATTATATATTACTTTGGTATTACCATTTACAAGCCGATGATTGCCGACCATTTGTTTATGGTGGATGTGGAGGAAACCACAATCGTTTCAAAACCAGACAGAAGTGTGAACAGATATGTAAAAGTAAAACAGGTGAGCTTATGAAAAAAAAAATTCATTAAAAATAAAAACACCAAAATCATACCTACAATGTAACTCACTCAAGTGCATCTTGCTGGGAGCAATTTGTGCGGCTCTGGTTCATGACATTATTCAGATAACATGGGTCTACACTGTAGTTTGGTCAGGAAAGATAGGCATGTCTCTGTAATGACATTTTAAGGTCCCCCTGTGCCTATGGTTTCACTGATCCCATTTGCTTCGCTGACTTTACTTCCACCCCTGTTCTGTGCATTTGCTCCTAATACATGGAAACTGTCTTTCATGTTGTTCCAACATCTGCTAAAAATATTTCTACTTAACTCAGAACAGCAATAGAATCAGTTTCTATAATCACATGAGATAAAAAGGACATATGATTACGACAAGTATGTCCTTAGGAAATATTTACATGAATTTATACTTAACGTGCAACCTACAGTGTATATAAATAGAAAACATTTCACACTTTTTATATGAGTTGTTTCTTCATCTGAAAAAGAAATTTCATAAATGAATAAGCAAAGTGAGTGTGTGTGGGTGGGGGAGACTCCAACTGGCCATTAATATACCATGCTTCCACATATAATAGTGCTATGTGATTACAATTTAATAACCTGTATCTAATATTTTAAAAACAGGCTGTGGTGTCAGTGCACAATAAAATATTATATGATTTCATGCTTTGATTTTATATTTTGGACATTCAATGATTTCAGTGTGTGTGTGTTTGTGTGTCTAATGCATTTGGATTTGCTACTGTAATGTGTATACACTGGCATCTATGTGCAGTATATATAAAAATATATTACCGTATTTTTCGCTCCATAAGACGCACCTGACCATAAGAAGCACCTAGATTTTAGAGGAGGAAAACAAGAAAAAAAAATTCTGACCAATGTTCTGCAGACATAGTACAGGAAATGACCAGAGACTGCGGACACAGTACAGGAGATGACCAGAGACTGCAGACATAGTACAGGAGATGACCATAGACTGCGGACACAGTACAGGAGATTACCAGAGACTGTGGACATACTACAGGAGATGACCAGAGACTGCAGACATACTACAGGAGATGACCAGAGACTGCGGACATACTACAAGAGATGACCAGAGACTGCGGACATAGTACAGGAGATGACCAGAGACTGCAGACAGAGTACAGGAGATCACCAGAGACTGCGGACATACTACAGGAGATGACCAGAGACTGCAGACATAGTACAGGAGATGACCAGAGACTGCGGACATACTACAGGAGATGACCAGAGACTGTAGACATAGTACAGGAGATGACCAGAGACTGTAGACACAGTACAGGAGATGACCAGAGACTGCAGACACAGTACAGGGGATGACCAGAGACTGCAGACACAGTACAGGAGATGACCAGAGACTGCAGACACAGTACAGGAGATAACCAGAGACTGCAGACACGGTACAGGAGATAACCAGAGACTGCGGACATGGTACAGGAGATGACCATAGACTGCATACATTTGGGGAGTGGGGGGCAGGTACCTGAATTTGACAGGTACCCACTCCCACTTCCACGGAGTTGTTCTCCCCCCTCCCTCCCCATAGTCTTCTGGGACACATGACAGGTCCCACAAGACTACGGGGCCATTCACAAAGCACAGCGCTTCTCGCGCATGTGCAGTGGGCACCCGGCTGTAAAGCTGCAAGCTGTCACAGCCGGGTGCCCACACTAAAGATGCCGGTGCGGGGAAGAGAAGACGGCCAGTGCAACAGGTAGGACCGAGGAGCAGGTTCTTCAGCACAGTAGAGCCGAGCGGCTGCCCGGTATTCTAACATGGCGGGGGCGACAGGGGGAATACCGGGCCAACCGCTCCATATTCGCTCCATAAGACGCACAGACATTTTCCCCTATTTTTTGGGGGAAAAAAAAGTGTGTCTTATGGAGCGAAAAATATGGTACTTCAAACATTTGAAAATTCTCATCTTTAATTATGTTTGGCATCATACCTTACTGTATAGTTTTTTGTAAGCAAATTATTGTTTGTTTGATTGTATGTGAATCTGTTGAAACGTTTCTTATATTGATATCCTGCCAGTAACAGCACTTCCTGTTTCAGGGTATACTTGTATCGAAATTTGACCATGTCAGTAGGAACTGGCTAAATTTTGGGACATGTGTACTGCTGTCTGTTCAACAGAAGCCAGTCTAATGACCAGCTCCTGTTGAACAATCTTGCTGGAAAACCAGCATTCGACCAGCATTTATAGCCAATGGCTACAGCTCTGATCAGTGTATTCTGACTGGCAGTGTCCCTTCTGTTAGAATACAATAGCTAGGGGGAGATTGTTAGAATACAATAGGGGGCTCTTCCTTGGTCCCCCTTGGCCTCTCCCCAACCCCTTAAGTATCTCTGGAGAGTTTCTAACCCCAATGAACGAACTCTCTTTAGCACATCATTACCTTTTCCTAAAATAATCTCTGTATGCCTAGAGTCACAAGCATTTTGTTTGACGTTTTCTCTCCCTATTTGTTTAAAGACATGTCTGCTGTGTACATTTTTCTCTGTATTTCACAGCCTGTACAATGTCTAATGCCAATTGTCTATGCCTTCCCCCCTACGTTTCAAAATTAATAAAATGTTTGAACAAGAAAGAATACAATAGGGGGAGATCCCTGCATCTGCATTGTTTGTGTTGATGCAAGGATCTGTGAGGTTTTTTTTTTTTTACTTCAACCTGCTGATTGGCTTAAAAAAAAAAAACTATGCGTTTAAACACTGCTTAAAGGTTATGTTCACCTTTTGAAAAAAAACTGCACATTTTTTACAAGGAAAAAAAGTATTTTTTTTTTTCTAAAGAATATGCAGAGTGTTGCCCCCACAATCAGCAGACAGCGGGTGCAATGTCAGACTCCTGCAGACTTCCAGGATAGCTGTCTGCCCATACCTCATACAAGCAGGCAGTTACTTGAGAGCAGGAAGATCAATAGACTATGAGAGCATTCACTGGGGCCCTTGTGGTTCACTGAGAACTAAAAACCATCAGCTGCAATGGCTAACGGCACTCGTAGGCATTAATTCACAGTAAACTGTGAATGAATGACATGGCTGTGTGGGCTGTGTGGGCAGAGCTCCGCATGGTCGCACTGTTTTCAAATTGTGACAGCAGGTGCAGGGAGAGGATCCCTTCTCCCACTGTCACAGGGAGAGGGATATCGGGGAGAGAAGGTGGAGATACTGAAATGTGTTATATGTAATGTTCCAAAGGTGAACTTTTCCTTTAAATATTCCCTTGCAATTAGCAGCAGTATTGTCACGCTTGTATGTGAACTTCCTCCATTGGATTTTTGGGTCTGCACGTGACTCCTGCACACCTGAAAGGCAGCCCAATGGTCAAATGAAGAAGTGTGCAAGGAAGGCTAGCAATGATACTAACTTCAAAGCAACAAGGTACAGACTTGATAGGCGGCCCAATGGCCAACTGAAGCAGTTCAGATTGCAGGCTGACAATGTTGCTGGTTATTGCAAGGCAAATGGCTTAGTGTTGTCAACTTAAAGTGGGAACTGCTGTTTAACCACTTCCCAACAACCCTATAGCAAAGGTACTGCTACAAGGTGGCAGGGATGTGCAAAATCATGTACAGTATATATAAGTGATTTGTATTTCCGTGCCACTATTGGCTCCTCGGCATGTCAATCACTCAGTGATCATCAGTGGAGCTGACAGGGAGAGGTCTGTATGTAAACAACACAGATCTCTCCCCTGTCAGCACTGACATGCTGCTTTGTATTGCTATGCAGAGCAATACAAAGCAGCATGTTTACATAGTAAAACACACACAGCACACTATGTAAAACACAACACAGCACACTGTTAACCCTTTGATTGCCCCAGATGTTAACCCCTTCATGCCCAGTGTTATTAGTAGAGTGTCAGTGCTTTTTATTAGCACTGATCACTGTATTAGTGTCACTGGGGATGTCAGTGACAGTTAGTCAGTTCCCACCCAGTGTCAGAATGCCCACCTCAGTCCCACAGTCCCGCAATAAGTCGCTGATTGCCTCCATTACTAGTAAAAATAAATAAAAAATTCAGTATACCACCATTTGTAGACGCTATAACGTTCATGTAAACCAATGCATTTAAAAGTATTGGGATTTTTTTTTTTCAGCAAAGACATGTAGCAGAATACATTTTTGGCCTAAATGTTTTTTACTGGGTATGTTTTATAGCAAAAAGTCGAAAATATTGCTCTTTTTGCAAAATTGTCAGCCTTTTTTTGTTTATAGCGCAAAAGATAAAAAATACAGAGGTGATCAAATACAACCAAAGGAAAGCTCTATTTGTTGGGAAAAAAAGGACATAAATTTTATTTATGTACAGCATTGCATGAGCGCGCAATTATCAGTTAAAGTAAAGCAGTCCGTATCACAAAAAATGGCCTGGTCAGGAGGGGAGGCAAATCCTCTGGAGGGCAAGTAGTTAAACTACAGAATGAGTAGTGGACTAATTTGTAACATATCTTTTCTTTCAGATCCTTCCCCACAGAGGTGATAATGTTCAAATCGTGCACCACACAGATCTATCATTAAGAATTGCTAACAGAAGATAATGCATTTTTCATGCATGTCAAAGTGAAGATTTTTTTTATTACTGCTGATTTCAACCAATGTGTTTTTTGTATGTAGTGTTGGGGGGGGAGGGGGGTCAGGTCTGGGGATTGCTAAAGTTGTAAAATCTATGTACAATATGAAAGGAACTGACACAAGATTAGTGGAAGCACAGAAAAAACAGTATTCTATGTACAGTGCAGTACTAAGCACAAAGCAGCTATAACCTGTGGTTGTTAACTACTTATTTTATATTTTTGTATGTTTTCAATACATGTGATGATGATACTATAAATTATATTGAAGCCATGAAGCAATTTCATTGGTGACATTGCAATGTCACAGAAATATATAAGAAAAGTCCAATCACATTGTTTTTAATAAATGTATAAAATCTTCTAATGGGTATTTTTTTAATTAAACATTTGGTTTGTTTATGCTAAATTACATGGATATGATAGTACAACCCTGCTGGTTCTCTTATGATATATTCTCATATCATGGTCCCCATTAACGAGATTTTATGTCAGATGTTAAATGATGTCTTTGTCCCCACAAAGGAGATTTTTTTCTTGTCTTCCTGTTCTGTCTTACACCGGTTACCTGGAAAGGAAGTGTGGGGAAATCTCTCTTATAGACACACAGGCCATAATAAAACTCTAAGGTGAAACCAATGGAGTAGGAATACTCCACACCGTCAGAAGGGGCAGCGTCTGTGTCTAAAGGAAATGCACTATACCAGACAATCTTTATACATTTGGAATGTTTATTGAAGGTGCCATAAGAACCAACACATTTCAGGGACCTGTGCCTTCATGGCTAATAATAAAACATATTTGATTTTAGTTAATAAACTATATGTAAGATACACATGTATAAACATACATACAAAATATATACTGTATATATACATATCCATGCATTCCTCCAAACATCTAGCTCAATACAACAAAAATTATACTGGCAGACCAAGACAAAGATAAGCACACTAGGTCTAAATAGTGATAATGAATGATATAGTAGAATAAAATCAAATTTTCGGATAATTTTTGGATGATAAACATTTGTTGTAATGTTACAGTGTTGCAATAAATATTTCTTAATCAAATGAACTATATATATATATATATATATATATATATATACAGTCAGGTCCATAAATATTGGGACATCGACACAATTCAAACATTTTTGGCTCTATACACCCCCACAATGGATTTGAAATGAAACGAACAAGATGTGCTTTAACTGCAGACTGTCAGCTTTAATTTGAGGGTATTTACATCCAAATCAGGTGAACGGTGTAGGAATTACAACAGTTTGCATATGTGCCTCCCACTTGGTAAGGGACCAAAAGTAATGGGACAGAATAATAATCATAAATCAAAATTTCACTTTTTAATACTTGGTTGCAAATCCTTTGCAGTCAATTACAGCCTGAAGTCTGGAATGCATAGACATCACCAGACGCTGGGTTTCATCCCTGGTGATGCTCTGCCAGGCCTCTACTGCAACTGTCTTCAGTTCCTGCTTGTTCTTGGGGCATTTTCCCTTCAGTTTTGTCTTCAGCAAGTGAAATGCATGCTCAATCGGATTCAGGTCAGGTGATTGACTTGGCCATTGCATAACATTCCACTTCTTTCCCTTAAAAACCTCTTTGGTTGCTTTTGCAGTATGCTTTGGGTCCATCTGTCCATCTGCACTGTGAAGCGGCGTCCAATGAGTTGTGAAGCATTTGGCTGATTATGAGCAGATAATATTCCCGAAACACTTCACAATTCATCCGGCTGCTTTTGTCAGCAGTCACATCATCAATAAATACAAG